GAGAGGCAACTGCACACTGATGTTTCTCTCCCTCTCTTCCTCCCTTCTACTCTCTAAAAATAAATAAAATCCTTTAAAAACAATTTTTAAATCCTCATGAAAGAAAACTTAAAAAGACAAAAGAATCAGCCAGAAAAACAGACAGAAGCAGAAAACCATCAGCCATAAAGAAGATGTACCATTCAAAAATAGCTCCTATCAACATTTTAATTCATTTTTTCCATGTTTTCACCCCTAGGCATTACATGTTTTGTGTAACTGTAGCTATTTGATATATACTAATCATACCTGCAGCCTGTGCCACTTAAATTATATCATCATCATTTCCCCATATTCTTCTTCGGTTTAACCTTGTATAGCTGCATAGAGTAGATGGTAGAAAGATTTTTAAATTAAACCAAGTCAAGAAATACGTCCCATTATTTTCCTTCCACAAACACTAATGTAGTTAAAAACTAAGCATTTCCAAAAGTTTCTGGGCCACAGGAAAGATAAGATACATTAAAAATGCCAAACACACAGGCAGTGTTTAGGAAACGTTAACTGAGTTTCGAGTGACAAAGAGAATATTTACTATAATCACCTCTGAAAAGATACAAAGGAAATTAAATTCAGCCTCTGTTCTCAACAAATGTTTAATATCACCAAAAAGATAAAATGCATTTACACTAAACAATGGAAGCCCAACATAATTCAGAGTGCACTCATCCTGGCTCTTCGAGGGCTGGAAATGCTTTATTCATTTTGCACCCTGAGCATAAACAACAGCGCCTGGCACATTCCTGATAGGTACTCAGTAAGTATCCGCCGCACTGAACCGAACTACAGACTAAGAGCTATGCTTATTTACAGACAGGAAGTCACTCTGAGTTGAGGTTAAGTTAGGCAAAGCAGAGAGCAGGGAGATGGCAGATTCTGATTTTGGCAACAATCTGCAGAAAGAAGGCTGAACCACAGTAGCCGTGGGATACTCTAAAAATGAAAGGCGATATAAGAAAAACATGTTTGCATAGTCCTAATTTAATAAAAACTCTGCTGTTTCTACATAAACGGCATTGAAACTCCTGCTGTACACATTAACTACTCATGAGAAATATATAACACATAATAGATACAACTTAAAAAACAAAGAAAACACACCAACACAGAATACTACAGCATTCCTTGACATCACAAATAAGTACTAATTCTCAGGAAGCTGAGTGAAAAAAATGACCAGCGGCAGAAGCAGTAAATTAAGGGTTTAGCTGTCAATGCAGAGTTCCACAGCAGATTCTGCCCTTGCTAAACAAAGTGTAGCAGAATGTGCTTGCTGAAACTTTCCCTCACATCTCTACACTCCAGTGAAGCTATGTGAATATAATGTTAGCATTCAGAGGGTGGTTACAGAAGATTTGGAATCTGCATTCAGCCCTAACTGCACCATATTCATACCACCTGATTACAAACATATCTTAAAAAACAGAATCTGCCCTGGCTGCTGGCCTGCAAAGCAAAAGGTTGTCGTTTTATTCACAGTCCTAGCACATGCCCGGGTTGCGGGCCAGATCCCTGGTTGAGAGCATGTGAGAGGCAACCGATCAATGGCTCTCTCACACACTGATGTTTCTCTCCCTCTCCCTTCCCCTCTCTCTAAAAAAAATAAATAAATAAAATCTCTTAAAACAAAAGAAAGAGAATCCAACTTCTTGACTCGAGTATTATTTAGCCGATTCCATCTATCCCAACTTCATTCACACACATACGGACGGTACTTTCCTTTCTTTTACCCCACTTGTGCTTTGAAAAAATTCAAAGAATTTATAGAGAAGGAATTTGCTAATATCACATCCCTAACAGCTGCTAGTTGGATGTACTAAATCCATAGCTTCTTCAGTAACATTATTTGGCCATTTCAGAAAGTGCGCTTAACATAAATCTAGTTTCCTCCAAAAGAATCGATTTAAGCCTACCCTACTGGGCTGCCTTCAGAGCAAGTTGCAGAGAGCTTAGAAGTTGGGTGTATGGTAATTCTGCCAGGATGTAACACTACAATTTCTTATGACTAAGTGTCTCTAATAGCTGTCCATTGGGTCTCTCAGCCTGAAGCACTGAAGAACAAATGCCAATCAACAAGTTGCCTGGGAGTGAACAGCTGACTTCAGGCACCACAAGCTTCAGGCAGGTGTCCCTTGCTCTTCTGAAAACACACATACATTCCAATCATGGCTGTATCTGTCAGATCATTTAAAGGAATTAAAACAACATAAAAGAATAGGTTATTTTTTCAAATGTTTCAAAAGTCCAAACAAATGCAAAGAGAAAACTGAGAATTTGGTTTTCAAAAAATGTCCCGGAAATTTTGATTCTCAGACTTTGTTAGGCGTTAGCACATTGTCTTACTCTAAGAATACAAACTGTTACCTACCGTTTTAATTCTAAATGAAGCACTTTCCTCTAGGACATCAAAAGATTCAGAAGCCCGACAGTAATAATCATTCAAAAACGACAGGGAACATAACAGGGACATAACATTTATAAACCTAAACTGCACCTGTCACCAATCCAACAAAAGAGTATTTTAGATACAAACCACATAGCTTTGAACAGTTGACAATTTGGTAAATTGATCCATAATAAGAACTCCTCTGTCAAATGGAATAATACAAATACCCAAAAATTGGATTAACACAAATGGTTGAAGATTTCCAGATTAAATTACTCTTAGCAAGTTACTGAATCTCTCTGTACTTGTTTCTTGATCTACAAAATGGAAAAAATAATATTAACCACCTCTTGATTCTTTATCAATATTAAATGAACATATGCTGAATTCTTAAAATAGAGCCTGGCAAAGGGTAACTAATAAAGAATGTTTGTATTATATAGGGAACTAACATTTGCTAAATGAAAATACTGAAAAGCAAAAGCAATTGGAGTAATCATGCCCTGACCCAAGTGGCTCAGCTGCTTGGGCATTGTCCCACAAAGTGAAAGGTCACCAGTTGGATTCCTCGTCAGGGCACATGCCTGAGGTGTGGCTCCGGTCCCCATTTGGGGCATGTAGGAGAGGCAGCTGATCGACATTTCTCTCTCACACTGATGTTTCTCTCCCTTTCTTTCTCCTTCCCTTCTCCTCTCTCTAAAATAAACAAACTCTTTTTAAAAAATAATGAACAAATTTAAAATAAATTTAAAATCTTTTTAAAAAAGAATAATTGTAAAAATAAAAAAAGACACTGCTGCCATGACCTGTGGAAGAATAAAGTTTCAAGCTACTCTAAGTATATTTAGAGTCTAAACGAAATAATGAGAACAGAGCTCCCTGCTAAAAAAGATAACTATGTCCCTTCAGAGGGAATTAATACTCCCTACCACCTTGATCTTTGTCATTGGTCCTATTTTGCAAAATTTGATTATTTCTCCTATGCACTCCAGGTAAACCTCAGCCCTTAATGTCAAAAAAGCCACACGACGAGCTCCTCCGGGGGAGCTGAATAAAAGGGTGTGTGAAGTCCTCAGCATCTTCTCATTTTGTTAACAAACCACCAAGCACAACAGATCCTCATTCCTGAAATAAATTGCCGAATGTTCCTGAAATAAAAACTGCAAACTTTCATGTGAATAGACCTCCACAACAATAGAGAGTTGTTCCAGTCTGTGAATAGGACAGTGTCAGTGTGACCAACAAAGCTGGGGGCTGGACATTCCTGACACCCTTGTCCCCTGGCTAGCCTTTGGCCACTTATGTCACTCAACCACATATGTTTCTGGAAATCACTTTCAGGCAAAGTACATGGTCAATATTTACACCCTGAAGCGCACCCTTCATCCCAGAGCCCTGTTTTCACAGCTTCTGCCCCACAGCCGCACTTCTGACTGCCAGCATTACCAACACCCACGGGAGCAGCCATCAAACACAGGCAGCGCTTTGTTCTCCGTGTCCCTCCACCCCCACTCCCCAACAGTCACTTCGTGTTTTAATTTGTATATTCTGGAAAACATCATGAGATGGCAATGGCGAACAAGCCAAACAACAAAATGATCTAGGAACTGAGCGGCCATGGGAAAAAGTGTGGTATCCTGCATTAGATCGAGGTGGGCTGGAGTCTTCACTCCTTACTTGGAATACAGCCTTTGAAAAGAGCCTTGGCTTAGGTCTTAGTTTTCTTACGTGAAAATGGGATAGTAAAACCCATCTCACAAAGTTGCTGTAAACACTAAATAAGATATTGTTCAAAGTGCCCGGTATACAGTATGTGCTCAGTAATCGGAAGCTATTTCAGTCCTTCTGTCCAATCGTCCTGGGACACACGAAGCTAATGGCAATTTCAGACAGTGGAAAAGACAAATGAAAACTCGCGACTTTATCTGTGTGTCCAGATCAAAATGGCCCAGATGCTAACGCCCAGGGTAAGGGCCTGCGGGGTCTCCTGATCGAACTGGAGACCAACAAAAAGTACTTGACTGAGATCTGTGACATTTTATTTACATGAAAGGAAAGTTAGGTTTGCCAAATTGAGTCCCTTTGTTTACAGCAAGGGACAAGTGATCCCCAGAGAGCGTGAATAAGGAGCCAGACAGGCGATGGAGTTGTGCATCCGCTGACCCTTCAGAAAGCCGCTCACTATCCACTTCCACGCATGCCGCTCGCTCCAGTGTCTTCCAGCAATTTCCCGCGCCCACGCCCAAGCGGCCACTGTCTTTCCAGAAGCGGTGCCAACTGCCCGGGTCGAGTCCATCACCCGCAACGGGCTGCCCGGGACCCCACGGGCCTTCCACGGGCCCCCGCACCCCGTACCCATCCTCCCGGACCCCACCTCCAGGCCCGGATCTGAATCCTCTCCCCGGACACGAGCGCTCTTGCAGCCGAGAACTCGGACCACCCGAGCCCAGGAGTCCCCGGAGCCGCGGACGCTGGGACCGCTATTCCCGCTTGGACGGGATCCAGCCGCTGCGGGCCCGCTCCGCTCCCGTCGCCCCTAGACTCCTGTCTCCCAAAAGTGGACACTCACACTCACCCTTGAAAAGCAGCATCAGGAAGAAGTCGGGCAGCCGGGCGCAGAGCTGGAACCCCCGCCGCTGCAGCCTCAGCGCCATGTCTTGGAAAGCTCAGCGGCAGCGGGTTTGCGGCGCAACTAGGCTTCCCCGAGCGCATGCGCCCAGCTTGAGGAGACCCGGCTACCCGCCCCTTGTTACCATAGCGACCACCAGACCCGGCGAGCAGTCACCATGGTGACAAAGGAAGCTGAAGTCTGGTTATGCTGGATGCAGGGATGCCTGGACCTGCGCCCATGGCGTCTGTTTCAGTGAATTGAGTGGGAGGAGGATGTTTAAGAATGAGGTGGGGTAAATTTCCATAGCTATAGAATGAGTGCATCACTACAGATCAGAGAAGGAACACTCAATTAAAAACTGTAAAATGAAGGGTTTCTCATTTTACCAATAAGGATGCAGCCCAGTTATCTTGGAAGCATTATTGCCTGCACCTTGTTTGAGGCCCCAGTTCCAAATCTGATAAAAGAAAAAAAGCTCCAAAATCAATATAAAACATAGCCAACACACGCATTTTACAGTACATAGAAGTGGCATCTTTCTGAAACAAGCAAAATTTGTTTCCATGGTAGGTCAAAACTGATGATACACCTATAGTTTCTTCTGCAGAAAACCAGCCTAACTATTTGCCTAACTGAAGGAACATTTAACTACCTGGTTTCCGAATGTAGGAAAATGATAAGGCCAGGGAGGAAAATGCAGCAGAATCTTATGAAGACAAGAAGACAAGAGGAAGAGAAGAATAAAATATACTGAAAATTGGACTTAAGGATGCAGTTGGTTTTTAGTGTCATTTAATACTATGGAAAATTTTGAAATAGCTTGTATTATATCTAATATAGAAAGTACATCTCTAGTGTTACAGGAAATATGAGTAAAACCAGAATTTGAATATAGTGATTAGTAAAGTGTGTTAATTTCCAACAACTGTGTTTTAATACATAACTAAAGAACTTCAATTTTTCATATGAGGGTTTGTTTAGGGTTTTTAGCCACCCTAAATTTATTTTGGTGTTTTTGGTTTTTACAAAGTAGAACAGTGTGTGTATAATTTATATATATACTAAATTATATATATTATATTTCAATTTATACTATATACAAATATCAAGAAACATCAAATAGATTGAGGTTGTTGCCAGATTCATGTTTCAAATGCAATCATTATATAATTTTCTTTATAAGTCTTTTTATTCAGTCACTAAGGATTGTTTTTATTTATTTTAATTATATTTGACTTTTTATGCTGTTACAGTTGTCCCAAATTCCGCCCCTTTGTCCCTCTCTATCCAGCACCCACCACTCCCTCTGGCAATCTCCACACCGTTGTCCATGTCCATGGGTCCTGCATGTATGTTCTTTGGCTACTCTATGCCCTATGATGTACTTACAGTCCCATGACTATTCTGTAACTACCAATTTGTACTTCTTAATCCCTTCACCTTTTTCATCCATCCACCCAACCCCCCTCCAAAATGTTCTCTGTATCTATGATTCTGTTTCTGTTCTGCTTGTTTATTTTATTTTTTAGATTAAATTGTTGATAGATATGTATTTATTGACATTTTATTGTTCATATTTTCTTATGTTCTTCTTAAAGAACCCTTTAACATTTCATATAATAATGGTTTGGTGATGATGAACTCCTTAAGCTTTTTTATTTGTCTGGGAAGCTCTTTATCTGTCCTTTGATTCTAAATGATAGCTTTGCTGAATAGAATAATTTTGGTTGTAGGTCCTTGCTTTTCATCACTGTGAATATTTCTTGCCAATCCCTTATAGAATGCAAATATTCTTTTGAGAAATCAGCTGATAGTCTTATAAGAGCCCCCTTGTAGGTAACTACTGCTTTTCCCTTTCTGCTTTTTTTTTAAGATTTTATTTATTTATGTTTAGGGAGAGGGGAAGCAAGGGAGAAAGAGAGGGAGAGAAGCATCAATGTGTGGTTGCCTCTCGTGGGCTCCCTACTGGGGAACTGGCTGGCAACCCAGGCATGTGCTCTGACTGGGAATGGAACCAGTGACCCTTTGGTTCTCAGGCCAGCACTCAATCCACTGAGTCACACCAGCCAGGACTTTTTTTTCATTTTCTAAAGCTTCTTTCTATTCTGGTTTATCATGATCCAAAGTCACAAGTAACAGTATGTGAAAATTATTTTATGGTGGTAGCCTCCCTTCATCAAACACATAATAAAGAAATTAAAAGAGAAAAATTCTTTTTAGATCCACTGGCTATTTTTCCTTCTGCTCTCTCTTTCCTCTATTATTTTCTTCAGCTCCTGGTTATACAGCCAGGGGTTATTTGCCTAACTGAAGGGACCATTTTGGTTACCTGAGGAATGTAAGATGGTTTCTGACTGTGGACACAGTACAGTTTTCAGAAATTGTGCCTCTTTTCTCCTACTGGAGTTCCTGTGCTTGCACTGTGAAATAGTTCTGCCTATTAAATGTCTTCTCCACTAGGAAATCTTTCAAAAGTCCAAACAAGATTACAAAGCAGCTCCATGCATATCCTATAAGGAGCAGAGGTTTATCTGAGAGTGGAGGCAGGTCCTTCATTGTAAAACATTGATAATCCTCTACATATGAAGTCTGCAAGCTATGACCTGTAGCTGAGATACACGATTCTGGAATGGAGGCCCACCACTAAGGCAGCAGGACAGGGTAGAATGCACTGGGTGGTCAAGTGGTCTGCTCTTCCTTATGATTTTACTGTTTCCAGCAAAGCTCCCAGAGAGCTCCGGTCCTGTTCAGAAGGGAATCAGAGCTCTGAAAGCATTCAGTGCGTGGGCTCTACAGTCTGTGCTTCTATCATCACATCATCCACCTGAGTCTGCTTATTTCTTTTTAAAAATGTTTTTAAAAATTATTGATTTTTAGAGAGAGAAAAGAGAGAAATATCAACTTGTTTTCCACTCATTTATGCATTTATTAGTTGCTTCTTGTATGTGCCCTGACTGGAGATTGAGCCCTCACTCAACCTTGGCGAAGGGGACGATGCTGGAACCAACTAAACTACCCAGCCAGGGCTCAATATGCTTATTTCTAATATGTGGCTTACTAAGGAGGGACATATTTCTTAGAAGAGCTCAAGGAACTAAACATGCTTGTGCTGCACTTGAACAAAAGCATTTGCAGTATTTTTCGATACCAGCATAAGGTGTAAATCAAGCGGCAAAGGAAGAGCGAGGTTTTCCCCGTGAGTCTCGCCTCGGAGCAGCCCACAGAAGTCCCAGCAGCGGTAGTCCGGGAAGGGGAATGTGGGCTCTGAAGTCTGGTGGACTGTGATCCCAATTCTCAGTTTTTATAAATGTGGGGAAGTTACTTACCTTCTCTAAGCCTTAAATTCCTTGCCTGTAGAACAGGGACAACAATACCCACCTAACATGGTCATGTGGAAATCACACGAGATAAACGGCTGAAACAGAATGTGTTTGTTGTGTGAAGGAAAAGGAGGCCACACAGTAAACGCGCCAAACTTGGGAGAGGCCTGCAGGGTGGCCTCAAAAACTCAGTGACCAATGTAACCACACAGGATGGTCTGAACTGAAAACTTCCTAACTAAAAACTGTTCCGGGTGAGTAGTCATGTCCTAGTGTGGTGTTTTTCCCTAACATTGGTCAATCTTCACCTAAACTGATCCTATCTATTGTCTTTTTGCGTGTAGGATAATATACCTGATGACATGCCTTTGTAATATCGGAGTAATTTCCCCACCACCACCCCTCAAAGCACAATCACCCAACCATCACACCAGAGCAGAGACCAAAGTCCCCTCACTGTTATCGTTATCATGTTCATTGTTAACTGTTAGCTATCCTGTACCCCTGTGTACAAGAAGTATGCCTGTCATTTCACTTTCTATCCAATCCCAGAGATTTCCTGCTTTGCTTTCTCCTGCCTCCCCAGTCTATCACCGATGGATTCCATGTAACCCTCTTAAACCTTTCCCTTTGATTCTGATGTATAAAATAAGAACTAAAACTGCCACTTTCCGGAGCATTTTCTCAATCCCTTGAGATTTTGCTTTCCAGCAGTTGTCATCATTTTGGCTCAAATAAACTCATAAAAACTTTTACAGCTTTGGATGTTTCTCATATTGACAATTGCTGTACCCCTTCCCTTTCCTAGTATTTTAGTTCGGTTCAGACAAAACAGTTACAATATTCCTGGAGAGTCCTGATTAAAAAAAAAGTAGGACCTTCAGCCTGCAAATGTGTCAGAAGGAATGAGAAACACAGAGGAATTTTACATCAGGGTGTGTTTATTTTTTGGTGTGACTATATTCTTTAAAAGTAACAGGGCTATGGCTTCTGTTCTTTCACGCCCTTATATGCCTGAAGTCAACCCTCGCTGCTTGAGAGCAGGGAGCTCTCTGATGGAGGAGATTCTCTGACCCACTGTAGTCCCATGAAAGCATTCCTCTTCAGGGCTCCTCAAGGATTCTGCTGCTCCCTTTCCTCTCCCTTTAAGTCCTACCTTCCTTGCGTATTTCCAACTCCATTCTCTCACATGTTATCACAACTATCTTCCTCTGCTTTCTCTTAAAACTATTTCTTTCATTTTATTTAAATAAGAGGGCCCACCCCCCAATCTAAGAAAATAGTGGCCATCTAAACCTCCATCCACTCCAGCAGGATATGCTGCTGGTGCTATAGAAGGAAGGGAAGGTCTGTGGTTCCACCTATTTGCATATTTCTCTGCTCCATAGTGGTTCCATTGAAAATGGTCACGCTGAAACCAGAAAAGTCGGCGTTCATGCTGCCTGTCTCTACCAGAACCAGTAAGTACAAATGGAGCTTAAATCTTTATGGGCAGCCCTGCCTGGTGTGGCTCAGTGAATTGAGTGCCGGCCTGCAAAACCAAAAGGTCACAGGTTTGATTCCCAGTCAGGGCACATACCTGGGTTTCAGGCCAAGTCTCTGGTGGAGGTGGGGGGTGTGACAGACAACCACATATTGATGTTTCTTTCCCTCTCTTTTTCCCTCCCTTCCTTGCTCTAAAATAAATGAATAAAATCTTTTTAAAAATATCTTTATAGGCACTTTATTCAGATGACCAGAAAACTGAGAAGATGATGGGTTATGTACCTTGAA